TGATGGCTGGGTCAGAATCAGTAAATATAACTCCAGGATTAATATTTGTTTTGTCAAAAATTGTTGTAAAAATCCATTGAAAGGAATCGAGGGTTTTATCATCTATAATAGCTGATGCAATAATTCATGACTTGAAATAATTGTCAATAACAATAATTACACAAAGCATCATACGGAAGCGATTGGTATTTGATGTTGTGTCTAAAATTACAATATTATGAAAATTTTTATACAAGTTACATTGTGACGATGACATCCACAATAACCTACTTAGCCTTCTGGATAAAGGTTCTAAGTGTAGTTTGACTACCCACAAAGGATCTGATTCTTTAAAATTTAATAATGTTTGAAGCATCTGAGATGTGTCCAAATCACCTGGATTATTTGTAAGCTGAAACTTATATACAGTATTATATAGATCCTTTTTATAAATATGATGGTTGGGATAACCATGCTTGAGTAGGAGATAAATAGTTCTGGAATCTATTCAACCTTGTATAGCATACTTTTCAATATCAGATAATATTTCTGACATTAATTTTCTAAATCATGGTGCTGTTTCATAGTTGGTTAAATTAAGTTCATGATTATGAATGTCAACATATGAGTTAATCTTAATAATATTAGTCATTCTGAGACAAGTAACATTTAACTTCCAAGGGCATTGTAACTGTATTGAGGTTACATTTCGTTGCTTAGTTGGGTTACAAGTTACTTGTGGATTGTGCACACTGGATCTTGAACATTCATAAGTAACCCTATGTATGATTTTACTATCTGCCTGGCTCGTCTGGACCTTGTAGTTGAACCTTTTTTGTTTAGCGAATTTGTTGAGCCAGGTCTTAAATTCTGACCAATTAAAGAAAGAAAGCCCAATTTCTAACTCTAACATTTCATCCTCAGGTTCACTGTCTAACTCTAAAACATCATTTTGATACTCAATTTCATTCAAATCTGTATTAACAAATTTGATGTCATTGGAAAGGTGTAGATCACTACTAAAATCATTCTTAAAATAACTGTAAAAAAGGTTTAACAATAAAATAAAGCTAAGAAAACTAAAACCTACTTACTTGAGAGATAGAAAAACTGTCATTTGTATTTAAGCCAAGTAAACCTTGGTTATTGTCAAATATTAACAGATTTGAAGTTTCTTGCAACATATCGGGACAATCAGTCTAGAAAGAAAGCTATTAATAAAAAAAGCTTCACTAAGTGAAGTTAGTTTAGTTAAAATATATAAAGGCTGCTTACTTGTGACAAGAAATTGTTATTTATATTTAGACAAAGTGGGCCTCGGTTCTTATTAAATATTACTAAATCTGAAGTTTCATGTCACGTGCAGTTAGGAAGGCATCGATAACTAGTCTTTTAAGCGTAGCAAAAGAAAAAATCATCATTAAAGAAAAGGTTTATTAAACAATGTTAATTCGACTAAAATACATAAAGACCACTTACTTGCAACATTGAATTATTATTTGCATATACATCAGTATTTAGCCCTAACTGATCTAATAGGCTTGATATTTCTTCTAATTAGATGTGAAGCTATGTTAAATAAAAAAAAGGTTGATAACACAAAGCAAGGTTAAATAAGCTTCTTTAATTCTCTTTTCAGGTAAGCTCTATACCAAAGCAAAAGCTAAAAAAACAATTCAACTACAATGCAATGACAATTTTCAAACCGATTTGATTTGTTATTTTTGCTTCTTTACTAATCAACCTTTTTTTAAAAAAAAATCCTAGGGAATAATGAAGTACGATGAAGAATGAAAGTCTAGTGGCACTTTGGTTACTATACTATCTATTGTGAAAGAGAAAACCGGTTTATTGTTTTGATTGTTAGCTTTATTTATTTGATCATTTGCATGAATTTTAAACCCTGCAAAATTGCAATTCATGCATAGTATACGTATCGATATACTGCAATTTACAAATTTACATATTGTTACACTATTATGTAAGATATGTATATATACACATGTGTAAATTTAGAAATTTTCTATTATTTATATAATATTTTAAGAAAAATTTTTATACTAAACTGTATAATAATAAAAAAAACTATATATATGCATAATATTATCTGTTTTGTACAGATATTTATAAGTATAAACATATATATATAATGCAGAATGCATAAAAAACTTCAGTTTTTTTATAAAGTAGTAAAATATTGCATTAATTAAAATTTAAACACTTATTAAAGATTAGCTAATTTATTATTTACAAACAACTTATTCTTGTTTTTTGAAATATTGTTTTCTTTACAAAGAAGTTAATGCATTTATATATATTTAGATTATATATTTACTTAGTTAAATTAATAAATTATACTATAAAGAAGGTTAAAATTGTTATACAAAAATAATATAATATTATAGCATTTATTATCTATTATGATATTTACAACATATTATAGTACTTATAATCTATTATAATATTTACAATTTATTATAGTACTTACAACTTATTACAACTATTACAACTACAGTTAGACCTCTCTATAGTTACTTTCTTATAGTTACATTAACTTATAATTACATAAAATTTTAAAACTAACTTATATAACACTTATAAAATTTAACTTTCATATAGGCACAAACTCTCTATAAGCATCAAATTCTTAAAACCAAGAATGTAATTGTAAAAAGATTTGACTATATTACAATATTTATAGCAATATGATATTTATAATTTTTTTTTTTTTGTTATTAAAGGCCATACTTATAGCAATACTTTATTAACTTATATTGGGTTAGCTATTACAACTATTTTTTATAGAAATGAGAGTACAGCTAGTCACATATACAACTTTTGATTGCCTATTTAAGTAGTCTGCTCTAAGGTTCTACACTAAATGCCATACCTATAATCTACTAGAAGATTATCTATTTTAAATCTTCTGATCATCTGCCCTATCATATTGGAATTTCCAACTAACCTCCTGTATATACCTAACCAGTATACTGTTTGAGCAGTATGGTTACCTACCCTTTTTGTACTGGTTTCCAGGCTGTTACACATTTCAGAGTACATTACCTGCCAGTAAGATGCAGGAAGCCCTCTATTGTTAACTATCTATTTACTTTTAGAACACTAACATAGGCTACCCTTATAGAGTTTACCCAGACTCTAGTACTGACTTCATAGCATATTTCTAGTACTTTTAATATACCTCTGCTTTGAACCTAGACTCCTAATTCAGATAGCCCAAAAGGACTGTAATCTGTCCTTGGTATATTGAGGCCAGTTTAATATTTTTTTTTTCAGTTTAAAATCTGGTGGCCTGGTTGCTGATACCCTTTATCCAAGGTACTTGCTTGCCCAAATCCTTTATATTGGTATCCATTTCCTAAATCTAGCCTTTATAGTAATACCATCAAAGATTTGTGTTACCTCTCTGCTCAGAATTTCCAAGTAAGCTCTAGCTTTTCAGTTCTACAGATTTATATAAGCTGAGGACTTATTTTAGGTTTGCAACACCTGGTACCAGTTTGCATTCCTCTGTGTAACAGGTTACATGAATGCCCCAGATCTGCCAGTCATGCTGGTGTGACTATAGTTACAGGTATCCTATCCTAACTGATTAACAGAATGCTGTTGCTGTAATACTGTCTATATATTACATAGGTGATTATTTAAATTTTACTGTCAGTAGGTTTTGAACTTACTATCTACCACTTAGGGGTATGACAACTTATCCACTTCACTAAGTCACCACACCTGACATTTATAATTTTAAAACTTAGTTGTAATTAAGGATTGCAATTCTGGTTATAATCTGTAATGTTTGTAATTATTACTAATAGCTAGTAATCTTATATTCTTAGATTTATTAAACTATTTTGTAAATAAATAATTGTATTTAATACTAAATTTAAATATATCATGCAGTATATTCTAAATACTTTATTTTTAATTTAAAAATTTTGCTTTTAATTAATCAAATAAATAAGTATTATTGGACAGTATAAATATCTTATAAGAAATTTACTATACTAAAATTCTGCAAAAAATTTTTTTTGTTAAAATGAAAAATAGTTTTATAAGCAAAATTTTAAGTTACTAGTAATTTTTGAAAAACTAATTTTTTTTTAAAATGTTATATATATCAAATCTTTTAATTTTATTAGTTAATAAAGAGTAATATACCTTATTTTGTCCAATTAAGTATAATATTTACAAATGCTTAATCAAAAAAATTAAGATTAGCATGTTATTTATAAATTTAAAAATAGTAAACATTATTTTACAATCAGTAAATATTTATTATATAAATGATAAATTTGAAAAGTTGTAAAAAATTATTTGTTTATCTATTCATATTGTCTTTTTAATAAGTGTAATATTTAGTTTAATTTCTATTTTGAAAATTATTATTATTTTTTTTTGTTATTAAGGTAACCTCTTTGGTCTTTTGACTTTTATTAATCACTTATCGGTATTGTGGTTCAATGAACCACTACAGGAGAGCGTACAATTGGCTACACATGTAACTTTTCTATATTACCTATTTAAGGAGTCTGCCCGAAGGTTCTCTACCAATTGCCGTAACTAACAACCTTGCTTAGATGTTTTACTTTAAACCCTCTGAACCTGTAATCTGTGTTAACATTACTGATCATCTCAGATGTATCAGATCATTGTTCTCAACCTTAGGACTAATTTATCTTCAAGGTAAACCTTCCAGAGCCTTCTGTACCCATTTTTATAGCTGACCTAGGTATTGCTATAGCAGAACTAACACTTACGGTCAAGGCTAACCATTAAACTGCTATGCCCTTGTAGAGTTCACACAAACCCCAGCATCTACTTCACAGTATATCCGAAATACTTTAGTATACCCCTGCTGGTTCACCAAACTCCCAATCCAGATAGCCTAATAGGACTTACGACTGGTCTATTGGTATATCAAGTCAGCCCAATATCCTTTTTCTCTGGCTTGATTTAGTGGCCTAGTTGGTAGTACTCTCCACCTAGAGATTTTTGCCTATCTGGCTACTTCGATTTTGGTATTTGTTTTATAAGGCTAGCCTTTACAGTAGGGCCATTGAAGATCTGGCTACCTCTTTACTCAAGTCTTCTCAAATGAACTTCTTGTTACCCAATTTTAACAGATTTACATGGCCACAAGAAAAGTTTTTGTTACTATTTCTGAAATAACTATAAAAATTTATATATTTATAAAATTTTTATAAAAAAGCTATAAGGTAACAAGTATTTATTTATCTCAATAGTTTACTACTCTTGAGAACATTATAACAAGCTATTCTTACTAATATACTCTATACAATTACTTTAATTTACCTTAAACAAACTACTTTTCTTATACTACTGATTACTTTATCTCTAATATCAAACCTTGGCTACTTACTGTTCTTAATGATTAAATAATTATTAGCAAGGCCAGAAGGCATAATATAATATCTTTACAGGTCTTACCCTTATTACTCACTAGCATTACTTATATCAGTCTCAGTTTTCAAACCTATATCCTATTCTTCTCTCTATCATTACATTATGTTTTAGATATTATCTTAATTCTAATACAATTGCTAGCAAATACACTATCTTTATTCTTACAAACCTGGTTACAAAACTACTCTGCTATATTAATACTGACAAAACTTAACCTATATGCCAACTTTCTTAATATTGCATATTATGTAGCTATTTGACATCCTTTACATATTTCACCTTCTCCTTCATTAATAATTAACTCACAACAATTACCTTGCATCTTTTAGTCTAACCAACTTACTGATAGCTTACAAACTATTGCTAATTTTAATTATAACCTAATTATTATTTCATTTTATACTAATGGTTTTATTATTAAGCTTGGTATCTCTTAATACTCTATGGGCATAAGTTGAATTTAAGTTGATAATTTTACAACTATTTACTCATTTTAGACACAAGTTAAACTCTGGCTATGCTTCTTTAAAGCTGAAATTCTTGCTATTCTCTTAGCAATTATAACTACTTCTAGAAACTATTTTGTTCATATTTTTATAGACTTACAATCTGTTATTTCCAAATATCATAATATCTACTTATTAGTGTCCAAACTCTCTCATACTTATACTCCATACTTCTCTATTTGACAAACTCTTATTAACTTCATTAACTTATACAACATTCAGCTTACTTTTTACAA